TCGCTCATGACATCATTGAGGTGCTCAAGCTCCAGCGCCCCGACAAGGCGGTGATCCTTTGCTGGAGATTTAAACAAATGCTCCTGACAAAGATCTCCGGAATACAAATTATGCTGCCTCTAGATAGGTTATTGTTCCCTCCTAGTAAGTAATTCATAGTGCAAATTATTTTCTAAATAATTGTTCTCAAGATTCTTCATATTTTAAGAGTTTTTTTCCCTAAAAGCTTTGTTTATTTCACTTTACTACTGTGAGTGGTTACTGATCCATTTTTAAAGGACACCCAAGGGGCTCTGGATGGATTAATTATCTTGGTAGGAAACCGATCTTCCACCATCAAGCTACAATTCAAGTACTGCTGGGAGAGAAGAGATGAAGCTATATCACTGACAGAACAGGAACAAAACAGAGGCACATGACACCAATTTTAGAGTGGGTGGGTGGGTAAGGAAGGGGCTCTAGTCAAGCTCAAGTCTTTAAAATCTGTGTTCTGTATAACTATTCATCGTTGTCCTTCTGGCTTTTTTGTTACCATTCTTATCCTGCATCTCAGTAGGCAGCAATTCTAAGGCATTTCTGTGACTGATGATTAAAATTTGCTCCTTCGAGTTATATAACAGGCAATATCTTACAAAAGGATAAATAGAAAATCTTCCATTTACTTCTTTGGTATCTGCATTGTTTTATTTCATACAGAAGAGAGCCAAAGATGCTCAAACAAGCTAAGTATCAAATATACATCTTATAAACATTCAACACACTTCACTTCCAGTCAGTCTACTGGCATATTCTATCTATCTATCTATCTATCTATCTATCTATCTATCTATCTATCTATCTATCATGTCTTCCATATGTATTATTTTGTGTTAGAAAACTCCAGTTATGTTGTAATTTTAATGCTGTAGATGTTCCAAACACCTCAATGCACCTACTTCATGATGGAGCTGGAAACACTTCAAATTTAAAATAATTACTTGGGAAACCAGTGTACACAATGTACATAGATAATTTACACTACTTTTGCAGTTTGGGCAAAATGTATGTATGGTGCCAACTTCATTAAACAGGCAGATTTTTGCACAAATGCAAAATTGAGAACCAATCATTTCCTGGACATCATTCCTATGCATATTAGAAGTGAGAACAATGATGCCAATATGCTAGAACAACTCCTAACCCTCAAGTCTTCTTAAGTGTCTCTTAATCAGTATTTTGAACAAAATAATTCTATTATCAGAATAATAATACTAATTATATATGCTGTGTTGTAGATGAAATACTATTTCGCACATAGGATTCAACTCAACAGTATATCTCTCAAAAGTTTCTCACTTCTACCTACTACTACTTACTGCCACGTTCCGCATTAAAGCACAGTAAGGCCTACATCATGCCACTCAAGACACCAGACACAATAATAAAACAAATTACAAGTCTGTGTTATATGTTTCTTGTATTACAGCAGCAAGCGATTGTGTTCACAACAGTTTTTGCCACGTTCACGAAGTCTGAGAGTTGGAAGGGATCCCAAGAGCCATCTAATACAAGCCCCTGCAGGAATGAATCCACAGCTAAAGCATCCCAAGAGGTGTCCATCCAACCTCTGTTTACAAAGCTTTAATGAAGATGTGTTCACTATTTTCTGTAGCACTCTATTTCAGTAATTAATACCTTTTATATAGAGAAAGTTATCCCTAATACTTAATCCTAAATAAAATTGTTGTAATTTTATTCCATTGTCCTATCCTCTTGAACAACATTAAAAAAAGTTTACTCCAGCTGGGTTGCTGTAAGTTTTCCGGGCTGTATGGCTATGTTCCAGAAGCATTCTCTCCTGACATTTTGCCCACATCTATGGCAAGCATCCTCAGAGGTTATGAGGTCTGTTGGAAACTAGGCAAGTGGGGTTACCTATCTATGGAAAGTCCAGGGTGGGAGAAAGAACTCTTGTCTGTTTAGTAGTAGTAATAATAATAATAATAATAACAACAACAACAACAACAACAACACTTTATTTGTACCCCGCTACCATCTCCCCAAGGGACTCGGTGCGGCTTACATGAGGCCGAGCCCGAACACAACAATACAAGCAATAATCACAACAATACAAGTAATTAAAATAAAAACAAGTTTGATGCAAGTATGAATGGTGCAATTTGCCACATTGATTAGCATTCAATGGCCTTGCCGCTTAGAGGTGCTTGCTAATCAAGGTGGCCAATGGCACCTATCACACTTGACTCAGACAGACAAGAGTTCTTTCTCCCACCTTGGACTTTCCAGAGAAAAATAAACCCCATTGCCTAGTTTCCAACAGACCTCACAACCTCTGAGGATGCCTGCCAAAGATGTGGGCAAAACGTCAGGAGAGAATGCTTCTGGAACAAGGCCATGCAGCCTGGAAAACTCACAGCAACCCAGTGATTCTGTCCATGAAAGCCTTCGACAACACATTTTAAAGTTGTTCATGGCAGAGTCCATCAATAAAGAAGAAATAATCAATAAAGAAAAGCAATTATCTTGAAATTATGAAATTATGTCATATTCACTCCATCTTCTGCATGAGAGACCTTGAGATATTTAAAGATGGTGATACTAACACTTTGTCAATCTCCAGGCTAAATGTGCCTAGCTACCTCAAATATTCCTCCACAGAGGTTAGTTTGTAGATCTTTCTCCATTTTGGTCATCCTCCCCAGACAGGTAAAGGTAAAGGTTTTCCCCTAACATTAAGTCCAGTCATGTCCAACTCCGTGTGTTGGTGCTCATCTCCATTTCTAAACCAAAGAGCCGGCATTATCCATAGACATCTCCAAGGTCATCACTGCATGGAGCGCTGTTAATTTCCCGTCGGAGCGGTACCTATTGATCTACTCACATTTGCATGTTTTCAAACTGCAAGGTTAGCAGAAGCTGGGACTAACAGTGGGAGCTCATGCCGCTCCCTGGATTTGAACCTGCAACCTTTTGGTCAACAAGTTCAGCAGCTCAGCGCTTTACTTCACTGCGCCACCGGGGGCGTCTTTCCCCCCCCCCCCAGACAAGTTTTTTTAGTATCTGTCCACAACACATGTAACAATATCACAATACACAACAAATGTCTGGTTGCTGCATCATCAGCAGATGGCTAGATCAGGCCTGGGCCAACTTGGATCTTCCAGGTGTTTTGGACTTCAAGTCCCACCATTCCTCACAGCCTCAGGCCCTTTCCTTTTCCCCCTCAGCCGCTTAAGCGGCTGAGGGGGAAAAGGAAGGGGCCTGAGGCTGTGAGGAATGATGGGAGTTGAAGTCCAAAACATCTGTAGGGCCCCAAGTTGGCCCAGGCCTGATACACTATAGAATGAGTGCTGTTTGACACTACTTTGAACTACCATGGCCTCAATACTATGGCACAGTGGGAGTTGTAGTTTTACAAGGTCTTCTCCCAAACTACAACTCTGATTGGCCTCAATGCAATGGCATAGTGGGAGTTGTAGTTTTACAAGGTCTTCTCCCAAACTACAACTCTGATTGGCCTCAATGCAATGGCATAGTGGGAGTTGTAGTTTTACAAGGTCTTCTCCCAAACTACAACTCTGAGAATTAGCCTCAATCCAATGGCACAGTGACAGCTGTAGTTTTACAAGGTCTTCTCCCAAACTACAACTCTCAGGGTTGGCCTCAATGTAATGGCACAGTGGGAGTTGTAGTTTTACAAGGTCTTCTCCCAAACTACAACTCCCAGGATTGGCCTCAATGCTATGACATAGTGGGAGTTGTAGTTTTACAAGATTTTCTCCCAAACTACAATTCTCAGAGTTGGCCTCAATGCTACAGCATAGTGGGAGTTGTAGTTTTGCAAGGTCTTCTCCATAACTACAACTCTGAGAATTGGCCACAATGCTATGGCATAGTGGGAGTTGTAGTCTTACCAGGTCTTTTCCCTAACTACAACTCTCGGAGTTGGCCTCAATGCTATGGCATAGTGGGAGATGTAGTTTTACAAGGTCTTCTCCCAAACTACAACTCTGATTGGCCTCAATGCTATGGCACAGTGAGAGCTGTAGTTTTACAAGGTCTTCTCCCAAACTACAACTCTCAGGGTTGGCACAGTGGGAGTTGTAGTTTTACAAGGTCTTCTCCCAAACTGATTGGCCTCAATGCTATGGCACAGTGGGAGTTGTAGTTTTACAAGGTCTTCTCCCAAACTACAACTCTCAGGATCCCATTGCCTTGAGCCACGGTAGTTCAAAGCAATGCACCCATTTCTTCAGTGCAGACTCAGCCCCATCCCCTCAGGAGGATTCCCCTCACAAGCAAGCCACGCGCCCCTCACCGCCACGCGGCACTGCTGGCACCAAAGGGACGCCTTTCTTCTTCTCCTCCTCCTCCTTCTCCTCAGGCAAAGGGCAGCTCCGTCCTCCAGGGAAGGCCACGAAAGAGGCCCTCAACCCTCCATTTCCATCTCCTCACAGACTCCCGGCTCTCTGGCTGCTGCTTCTTCTCGCCTCGGCCCTGAAAGGTTTGCGAAGGAGGAGGAGGAGGGGGTGGGATGTGGAGGGAGAACGGAGCCGAGGCAAAACAGAGGCGCGCTCCTGCGCAGGCGCGGAGCTGGCTCGTGCCCTCCTTCACAACACCCCGCCCACCCGCCTGGATGGAGTGGGCGGGGCCACGAACGGGTGACATAACCGTTACAGCGAGATAAGCTCCTCCCCCTTTTAGACTTCATTTCCCAGAAGCCTCCGCCATTTTGGTTAACCGTCACGAATTGTGGGAGATGGAGTCCTGCCTCTTTCTTGTCCTCTACACGTCCACAATAGCCAAGAGGAGCCGTCCATTTCCACCATTACTCCTCTCCTTTGCCAGGCAACTCTGGGGCTTTTTCTGGGCCTCGGCCCTGAATGTTAGAAGCGGTGAAACAAGGTAGATTGGGAAGAGGGGGAAACAAGGGCACTACTGCGCAGGCGCGGAGCTAGCTCGTGCTCCCGCCCTCTCTCCTGAGAGGAGTGGGAGGAGCCACGAGGGGTGACGTAACTAGCTGTCTCTTCAACAACAACAACAATAATAATTTATATAAATAAAAATGTAATATTCGTTTGTGGGATTAACAGAACTCAAAAACCACTGGACGAATTGACACCAAATTTGGACACAAGACACCTAACAACCAATGTATGTCCTTCACTTAAAAAAATTGATTTTGTCATTTGGGAGTTGTAGTTGCTGGGATTTATAGTTCACCTGCAATCAAAGAACATTCTCAACCCCACCAACGATGGAATTGAATCAAACTTGGCACACAGTTTTTCCACGACCAACAGAAAATACTGGAAGGATTTGGTGGGCATTGACCTTGAGTTTGGGAGTTGTAGTTCACCTACAAGGAGCCCCCGGTGGCGCAGTGGGTTGAAGACAATCCAACAAATGCTACGTTCAAGCAAAGGACAAGAGGGATCCTCTCACCTCTGCAGGAGTCTACCTTATTCCATGCAGCTGTGGACAAGGCTACATAGGGACCACCAAACGCAGCATTGCCCAGACACGAATCAAGGAACATGAAAGGCACTGCGGACTACTTCAACCAGAGAAGTCAGCCATAGCAGAGCACCTGATGAACCAACCTGGACACAGCATATTATTTGAGAACACAGAAGTGCTGGACCACTCTCCCAACCACCATGTCAGACTACACAGAGAAGCCATTGAAATCCACAAGCATGTGGACAATTTCAACAGAAAGGAAGAAACCATGAAAATGAACAAAATCTGGCTACCAGTATTAAAAAACTCAAAAATTACAACAGCAAAACAACAGAGAGTAAACAATCAGGCACATCAAATCACTCTCAACAAAAGATTCCCCCCAGGCACTTCCAAGCCATTGTATGCTAATCAAGGTGGTCAGTTGAAACATTCACACCTAGCTCCAGCAGACAAGAGTCCTTTGTCCCACCCTGGTCATTCCACAGATATATAAACCCATTTTGCCTAATTCCAACAGACCTCACTACCTCTGAGGATGTTTGCCATAGATGCAGGCGAAACATCAGGAGAGAATGCCTCTATACCATGGCCATATAGCCCGAAAAAACCTACAACAACCCAGTGATTCCGGCTATAAAAGCCTTCAACAATACAATAATAATAATAATAATAATAATAATAAGGCCTCTCGGGTGCTGGACGAGTGCCTGGCCCCTGTGTCTATCTGGATGAGGAGGAACAAGCTGAAGATCAATCCCGACAAGACAGAGGTCCTTCTGGTCGATCGTAAACCTGACCGGGGTATAGGGTGGCAACCTGTGCTGGACGGGGTTACACTCCCCCTGAAGTCACAGGTCCGCAGTTTGGGAGTCCTCTTGGATTCAACGCTTACGCTTGAGGCTCAGGCGTCGGCGGTGTCTGGGAGGGCTTTCGCACAACTGAGACTCGTGCGCCAACTGCGACCGTACCTCGCGAAGGCGGATCTGGCCGGAGTGGTCCATGCCTTGGTCACCTCCAGATTGGATTACTGCAATGCGCTCTACGTGGGGCTGCCCTTGAAAACGGCTCGGAAATTCCAACTGGTCCAACGAGCAGCGGCCAGGATGTTAACTGGTGCTCCTTACAGAGAGAGGTCAACCCTCCTGTTCAAGGAGCTCCACTGGCTGCCATTTATTTTCCGAGCCCAATTTAAGGTGCAGGTGCTTACCTACAAAGCCCTGAACGGTTTGGGACCAGCCTACCTGCGTGACCGCATCTCCATCTACGAACCCACACGTTCTCTTCGGTCATCTGGAGAGGCCCTCCTCGTGATCCCACCGGCGTCACAAGCGCACTTGGTGGGGACACGGGACAGGGCCTTTTCCGTGGTGGCCCCCCGACTCTGGAACACCCTCCCCAAAGACCTTAGACAGGCCCCTACATTGGCTGCCTTCAGAAAGAACTTGAAGACCTGGCTTTTCCGATGTGCCTTCCCAGATTAGGAAATCTCCACCACCAAGTCCCATAAGCACTTTATCAGAACCAATGATTGCTGCACATCACACATCGCACTTGCCCTGGAAGCCCTATATACACCTCCTGTCACATCAGCACTTTTAATCTTGTACCCATTGCTCTGGCCCGGCCCAGTTTTATTGTGTTTACTGTATTGTGCCTGTTGTTTATTTTGCTTTATTCTGTTTTTAATTGTTTGATTTGCTTAGATTGTATTGTTGTGTTGTGTGTTGAGGCCTCGGCCTGTGTAAGCCGCATCGAATCCTTTGGGAGATGCTAGCGGGGTACAAATAAAGTTTAATAATAATAATAATAATAATAATAATAATAATAAAAAATGTAATATTGTTCATGGGATTAACAGAACTAAAAAACCACTGGATGAATTGACACCAAATTTGGACACAAGACACCTAACAGCCCAATGCATGTCCTTCACTAAAAAAATGATTTTGTCATTTGGGAGTTGTAGTTGCTGGGATTTATAGTTCACCTACAATCAAAGAGAACTCTGAATTCCATCAATTATGGAATTGAACCAAACTTGGCACACAGAACTCCCATGACCAACACACAACACTAGAAGGGGATTTATATATTTTCAAGGGGATTGATATATTTTCAGATGGGAGTTGTAATACAGATGTTGGGGGGTCTGTGAGCGATATAACTACATGGGAGTGCCCCCCAGTATGAATTCTACCCTCCCCAAGAAATTTTACTCGAGATTTCTCACATTGCAATAACTTATGACTTTAGTCATAAATGCTGGTTAGGTACCCTAAGCCCCTTCTACAGAGCTGTATAAAATCCACATTGAACTGGATTATATGGCAGCATGGACTCAGATAACCCAGTTCAAAGCAGCTATTGTGGATTATCTGCCTTGATAGTCTGGGTTATACGGCTATGTGGAAGGGCTCTAAGAAAAGTCTTGTGGGCACAGTATCTCCCTCTCTGCAGTGCTCGAAACTTGGGAGACTGAAACACATGTTCATTGAGGCATCAGAAATTCATATATAGGGGTGCAATGCCCTCATTCCCCCCAAAGGTATACTCTAGGTATGGAACATGTGCACCCCTGGTTTAGATCAATATGATCCCTTCTGCTAATAATAAAAAAATCCTTCTCTGTTACACTGGGATTCACAGAACAAAACAACTGTACTCTTCTAAATATCCAAATAGGCCTACAAATAAGCAGAAGGATTGCTTGGTTGAGATCTTTAACATTATTGGACACTGGGCAGTCAAATTGGTTGGTCAGAGCTTGAGGTAAACACGCTCTTCATATTGCATAATATTCCATCTCAATATAGAGCACAGGTGTCAAACTCAAGACCTGTGGGCCAAATCCGGCCCGCCGTGTTGTTTTAGGTGGCTCTCTAGATCAGGCATGGTCAAATTGTGGGAGTTGAAGTCCAAAACACTGGGAGGGCCAAAGTTTGACCATGCATGCTCTAGATGCTGGATTACAACTCCTGTATTCCTCATCATTAGACATAATGACTAGAGCAGATGGGAGTTGTAATACAGTAACATCTGGAAGGCTGCAGTTTGTTCTGTTTAGTCAGAATAGTGAGATTTGAATTTAGATAATAATAATAATAATAATAATAATAATAATAATAATAATAATAATAATCTTTATTTATAATCTGCCACCATCTCCCCGATGGGGACTCGGAGAGGCTTACATGAGGTCAAGCCCGGCAACATATTACAGCAAAACTAAAACCAAAACATAAGCAACAGCATCAAATTACATTAACAAAAAAGAAAAAAACCCACATGAATGCAGTAACAAAATAACATACAATAACACAATACAAAGCTTGTGGATATGATGTCTGACTTTGAAATATCCTTTAACCTTTCCACAACCTCAGAGCCACAAGTGCTGTTGGGCTGCAATTCCCATTATCCCCAGTCCACAGAGTGGATAATCAAAAGTGATGTGAGCTGTCGCTCAGTAACATCTGGGGACCCAAAATGGGTAAGAACTAAAGAGCACTCTGTTAAAAATATATATAGCTGGCCCTCTGTATCACTGATTTTCTGTCCATAGATTCAACGGCCCTTTGAAGGGAACCATAAGGCTGATGTGGCCCTCAGTTAAAATGAGTTTGACCCCTCTGGTATGGTTTGCTATTATTTTATTTATCTGTTACAAAGGAGAATAAAAAAAGATACCTGTGGAACTCTTTAGGCTAGTTGGTTTGTTTTAGAGTGCATTACAATCTAGTTTCTCAGACCCATGGAGTACAATATTCAAGCCTCAGATATATGTATTCTGTGTACATATATATGCTTACGTGCTGCCCTGGATGTCTTGCAGTGAAAGATGACCTATAAATAAAAGAAAACATGGCAGCACAGGCATGAAAACCCTGATTAGTCGGCTCAGGCGCAACAACAGAGTCAGGGCTAATTTTGGCAGAGCAAAAGGCAGCAAAGGGTCAAGGCTTCAGAGTCAGGCTGGAATTTGGTGGAAGCAGACCATGGCAGTCCCTGGTTTTTATTGCAGCCTCCCACATTGACTCCAATAGATTTATGCAGAAAAGTAATTAAACTACTTATCAGAAGCTTCTAAAGACTTTTAAAAATACAGATTGAAACCACATGTAATTGAACATGATT